GCTGATACCAAGGGCTCAAGTAGAAAGAAAATGTTTTGAAAATGATGATGGCAACATATGTACCAATGTGCTTGACAGAGTGGATATTATGTATGGATTGTGATAAGAGATGTTAGAGCCCCCAATGAAATGATTAAAAAAACAACAACCACCCTGCAAAGCATAAAGAGGGATGCGCCTTACTTGGAGGAGTGGGGCGTGTGGAAGGGGGTGGAAACGCAATGCTTGAACTATTTTAATGTAGAACAAGGTGTTCTTTAACTTTTTAAAAAAAATCATTTTATTGGGGGCTCATACAACTCTTTTTTTAATCATTTTATTAGGGGTTCATACAATTCTTTTCACAATCCATACATACATTTGTGTCCAGCAATTCATACATATGTTGCCATCATCATTCTCAAAACACCTGCTTTCTACTTGAGCCCTTGGTATCAGCTCATTTTTTTCCCCTTCCCTCCCCACTCCCCCCAATAATTTATAAATTATTATTTTATCATATCTTACACCATCCAATGTCTCTCTCACCTACTTCTCCGCTGTCTGTCCCCCAGGGAGGAGGTTATATGTAGACCTTGTCATCTGATCCCCCTTTCTCCCTCACCTTCCCTCCACCCTCCCGGTATCACCACTCTCACCACTGGTCCTAAGGGGTTCATCTGTCCTGGATTCTCTGTATTTCCAGTTCCCATCTGTGCCAGTGTACAGGTATCAGGCATCAAAGACACCCCTCCCCACCCAAAAAAAAAAATCATAGCATCATGAATGAGGGGGAGTGCAGAGTGGGGACCCAGGGCCCATCTGGGGGGAAATTGGACATCCCCTTGCAGACGGGCTGCAGGGAGATGAGCCAGTCAGAGTGCATTGTAGCAACGATAAAATATACAATTTTCCTCTAGTTCTTAAATGCTTCCTCCGCTCCCACTATCATGATCCCAATTCTAACTTTTTTTTCCACAAAATCTAGCTGTGTTTTCTCTTTCAGACACTAGAGGGAAGTGTAAAATCCATTCCTTTCATATTTAATTTTATTCCTTCATTCGCTTACAAAATCAAATATTTACTGTGTTCCTATATGGTAGGAA